TAGAGTGGCGTGTTCGATTATAAATCATTAAATGTCCTCTTCAGTAAGACAGAGGTTTTAGCCAAAATTCAATACAATAGATATTTCGTCACCACCACGAGTGTTTTGTTTTTCCATGAAAGTCGACTTTCATTCATTTCTAATCTATTTTTATGTGCTCATTTTATTTTTTATTGTTGGACCATATTTCTTGAAATTCAACCCCCCCCCCCCCCCCAATGTGAATCATATCCATTCACTAATATGAAGAAGTAGACATTCGAATGGATGGAGTTATTGGAGTAAGGGTTGCTATAAATCATATGATCCAACGTTACTTTCTCTCAAATGGTTTGTGACAGATTATTTTGGGAAAAACCACAACAAATAGCATCAATGCTATTATGACAGAGTGTTGTAATGACTTGGACTCGAGACTCGGGACTCCAATCGACTCAAGTATCCAACCTCAAATGACTTGACTTGGATTCGCTTCACTTTTTCAAATGACTTGACTTGGATTCGAATCACTGTCAGAAATTACTCGACTTAACTCTGACTCGAGTCTGCCAAAACAGATTTTTTTTTAAGATAACAATTTAAACTTAGCTTGAACGAAGTTACTGCAGTGACAACTTGACTTGACCCGACTTCACCAACATGCCTGTGTTGATTTGATTTGACTAGGGATTTGAAGGTACATGAACATGTACATGAGTTTGACTTGACTTGGCACTCAGAAGGCAGTTCAACTGGACTTAACTTGAGACTCAAGCAGAGGGAGACTTGTTCTAAAATTGTTATGACATGGAAGAAAAATAGGCAATAAAGATTGAAAAATTGCTTCAATGACACTTGTGTCTGGAAAAGCAAAAATCCATTCAGTCAAAAGGAACAACTGATGGGCACATGTTGGTCAAAGAACAAGATACAACGGTGATTTTGTCCAGAAGTGTAACATTATCATCTCTGGAAATGACAAAATCCATGGGAATTGTGCTGTGGAGGATGGTATATTTCTGGCGCAGATGTCCTATAACTCGCTCCACATGAATTCTGGAGTTTGCTACTCTGCGCGTGTTTTCAACTTGCTCTCCAGATAGTCGTGGCCCATCTCTTCTAAATGCAGGGAGTACAAGCTTAGCACCCATCATTCCAACGCTGTCTGAAACATCAAATCCCCTGTCTGCCATCACAACATCCCCTGGACACAACTTGTGGAGGAAAGATGAATGTTCAACCACGTATTTGTCGCTTGCTCTTCCACCCCAGCCTTGTGATAAATAAGATATGACTCCTTGAGGGGTGATGCCGATTAAGTATTTAACAGTGTTGTTGTGTTTGTACGAAGACCATGTTGACGTTCGTGCTGCAAGATTGGACGGCCTTTCTAAAAATATTTCGAAGCAATCGATAATAACAGTTATCTGTTTGCCAAAGTGTGTCCTGAAACTCATGGGCATAGTTTCCCACAGCTGTTCCCGATCAGGCCAAAATATGAGTGGCATCAGTCTGATATACATGATGTTAATAATGTTCAAAAATGTTTTAGATGCTGTAGACTTATGCACATTAAACCTCTGCCCAAGGTCCACATATGTAGGATTCAGTCGGAGTTTTATGAGGCACAACACTAGCTGCTGAAATTTTGTTAACTTGTTCAAACAGCTGCACACAATGAATGTTTCTAGGTACGTAAACAGAACATCCAAAATGGCAAAGCTTGACAATCCTGTGAAATGCTTCACATTTTCATCATTATCTTGGAAGAACTGCCGATCAAAATTATTGTTACTCTCAGCCAGCTGCTCTTTCAATTTTCGATTTTCCTCTAACAATCGCTGTAATTCCGATTGTGTGGAATTCATGGAGTTGCTATCCAAGTCAGTTTGGCAGGCCTCTTCGGAAGTGGACTGTTGTCGTTTGGGGGTCTTGGGAACTGAATGAAGCTGGAGAAGAGCCTCGGCGGCATCCAATTTGGACTTCTGTCCCTGCCTGTAGCAGCGTCTTTGGTACCTCTCCAAGTCTCGAGTGACAGTTGCACCATCTATGTTGCTGTGACCAAGCTTGACAGTTGGTGCCCAGTCTGGATTGGTATTATCATACAATGCAGAGGGCTTTCCTACAGGGAATAAAATACAAAATAAGTTAACAAATTGTTCATTCAAATAACATTATAGTGGGTGGACCCCTATTGATCACAAAAAAAGGGTTGGTTCCATAATCCTTTGTTTTTTACTCCCAACTGCACATACGTAACAATGCGCCTTGTTTTTCTTTGGTGACCTTTGACAATGCATGTGCTACTACGTTCACACACAGGCTTTTTGTGTGCATCTCATCTAGGCGCTTGCGTCAAGCAGGTCTGATATCGCGCACTCTGCATGTGTCCTGCACTGCTCCCTGTAGGATGCCATCTTGATGTTGATCACCGTTGTCAGGCATTGTGGGTATTGTCAAAGGTCACGACAGAAAAGCAATGTGAGCAGTTAGGGGTTACGTATGCGGTTACAAAAAGGGCTAATGTACAAGAAATTGGCAGAGAAAATGAGCGTTGATTTCCATATAATATCCATTATCCAAGCACTATCTCAGAATCTCAGAATGTTGACTGGACATCGCTGCTAGGCATCATCATCCAACTATGGATTTACAATCTTGTTGAAGTGCAGGCTTGATGAAAAAAAAAAAAATTAGCGAGGAAAAATATTGGAAAGAATTCCATACCCAGCCACTTCCATGCACAAAACCTACACTTACGGGACATGCCAATGTTTCCTAAGAAAATCTGGCAAAAATCTGAGCGCGGTTTGCTCACAGTCACAGGTACACTTAAACTTTAAATTTGTGTCAAAATCCCCATCCTGGGGCATGAAAAACATAACGAAAACCCCAAATAAGGGTCGGGATAGTGCAAAGAGGTGGAGAGGGCCAGGGGAACATTAAGTCCATGGAGTACCACAGAATAAAAGATTTTTCATAAATTTCAAAGAAAAACTTTAAATTTTCTCACTCCTGTAACTGTAGTGTAATATTAATAATATTATTAAAATAATCATTTTTAGGAAAGAATTCCATATACAGACTCCTCCTCAGACCTTCTGCACAAACTGTATGGGCCATGACAGAAAAAAGTCAAGGTGTTTTCTGACAAAAAATCTTGATTCAGTTTTCCCTCCTAAATTTGCGTTTCTTCATCAGATTTACAACTTTGGGTACTTAATTTCAAGTCATATTTAGGAAAAATAAGAGGAGTCCGTATACGGAATTCCTTTTACTCAAATAACTCACCGCTTGTAAAATGGTCCGAGCAGACCCGTACATACGGCAAGTTGCTCTCTTTACTGTCTCGGGCGATTTGCGACAGAGAGTTCCAGAGTGGCAGCTCCTTCTCGGGTCAAAACGGCGGGCAGCCGAAAAAAAGATTTTTTGTCCCGATCCCCCCTGTTGCTGCAGCCAATAATTGCGCAAAAATTCACCATTTCTATGTCTTACACAGCTTGGAAACATAGAAAATGTCGAAACAGCAACCAACTGACAAAAGTGTGTATGCTGCGCTACGCTACCGTCACGTACGTACATGTATGTGGGTACGGGTACTTATGTGCGTTTTGTTGTTGTTATGTTGTAATCCAACATGGCCGACCAACAAAACAATGACGTCACCCTCGCGCCCTCTATAGATCCTCCGAGAGCCTAAAATCTGTATTGAATCAAGTAGCCATATGAATCAAAATGCCATAGTGGGACATGTTTCCGCCGAGTATTGTAGCAAAACGACTGTAGTCTGTACTACTGGAGAGACTCGGCCGGGTAAAGTCGAATTTGTTTAGGCAAGCAATTAAGCTAGACTGCAAAAATACAAATTACAAATGATGGACTGTAGCTTTAAATGAGCGCAGTTAATTTTAGGGAAATTTGGGGGTGATCGACGATGAAGACGACAAAACACGACACGAAAATAGAGCTGGTACACTGCGAGGCACCGTGAATGCATGACAAATTATATTCTGATACGACTAATTACATTTCTTGCATTAATAATTGAATTTCTTGCATTACTAATTAATTTTCCCTTAATACTTATTAATTTTCTCGCATTACTAATTAAGTTTATTGCATTAATAATCATTTCAGAAATTAGTCAAATAAGACACTTTTTCAGGACTAATTATAATTAGTCAAAATTTACCATACATGACAAACTATCAATTAGTCAAATATGACACTGCGCATACCTATTTTTTTTTTTTTTTTGGTCATTTGACTTAATAACATTTTCAGTGAACTGGTCAGGGCTGGATAAGAGACAATTTCAAAGAACACAACCATATCTAACAAAGAGACAAAACAGGATTTCATTAGCTTTTAAACTTGTGTAAGGCACCTCGTTGTTTGATACGGTGGCATAAACGCAAAATATGAACTCACCAGGGGCCGCACAGTTCTCTAGGTCACCAGACGCTGCATTTGAAATATGAATACTGTAGCATTCCAGTAACGCACCACTTGACAAGAGAGAAAACGCTGACTGTTTACCCCTCCCCCCCCCCAAAAAAACACTCACACAATTATATAGAGCTGCTACGTGCAAGCTTGTGCTAAAAAACGTAAAACTTTATTTCATACCAGAAACAGGCCACGCAAGCCATTATTATTGGTCAGTAATGGTTTCATGAATATTCAAGGCACGACTTAAAGGGAATATACAACGTTTTGCTTTTGCAAAAATTGGGGGGCAGTATTAACAAAACAGTAAGTTTTTTCCAACGATGGTCGGCCTGGAAATTGATACAAAAAAAACACACTTTTTTGGAAATCACAATACACCAGATGCCATGATTTCACAGGATGCTTGAGACAATGTACTGACAGTCCGACGGTATTGCATGATAATTTCATGAACATTTGGTAGTTTCGTTTCTTGATGTTCGCAAGTATTGTATATTGCCTTTTAAGCGGTATTCGTTCGGGGATCTGCTACCTTATGCCTGAGTCACGTGGCATATTTCGTCATGCGCAGTTCTCAAAGGAGTCAGTCACGTGGAGGGGAACGTGAGAGTTACTTCGGTTGCTGCATAATAAAAGTTACAATTTTCCCACTTGTAATCAGACTGCCAATTCGAACGCGTACATGAACGATACTCAACAGCACTGCCTGCTTATCAGTCATCTTTAATTCCTCATCCGGCATTGGTAAGTCCCGTATTATTTACAGGGTGAGTAAAACAAAAGGAAACCAAAATGGTGCCCCTGTGTAAAAAAAAAAAAAAAAAAAAGAAGTTCTGCATGCACTGTATAGCGCTTTCCAGATCTTGGATATGAAAACTCAATTAATAAGCTTTCTTTTAGTGAAAGAATATTTGTCCAGTTTTGATCACAAACGTGGGGTTTTAACTTTGTCAACGGATCACATTTAAGGTATCGGTAAGTGATATTTCAGTAAAAGGGAAACTATGTCGTATTCTGATGGCAGGCATTAATATTACGCTTGTTGTTTGCACTTGTTATTTACCTTTTATCCAGTAAACCAAGAAAACTGACCCCCAATCAATCAAGTTACAAAAGGGAATGGTATTCGCGGCTGAATGCTTGCAGGACTTCCCTGAGGCATTTGTTTTTAGCGCAAGGTCACCTCTTTGTTCGGTCGGATAAAGACACCGATGCTCGTATGAATTTGACGTTGAAGATACCCTAAAGTGGTCTCGTGAATATGATGATTTTTTTTCCATTTGTACCTCTTTGTTCATTTTGCTTTTTTATCAAACTTCGTATTGCATTTCTAAAGTCTCTTTCGGTGCTCAGGCCTAAATGGATTTGTGGCGAGATAAATTTTCACATACATGCATAGTGACGTCATTTTAGGGAGAGCTGATCTAGTCTTACAATCTAAAAACACGTATTAAAATTTGGTTGATTAAAAAAGTCGGTTAGAATTTTAACCAATGTGTTCTTTTGGTCAATTTGACCATATACACTTTACCCAACGTTGGGTAAAATTGGTTCACTTTTGGAACCAACTTTTTAACCAACTGTTAATTGTGTTGTTCACCTGGTAACCAACGGTTGGTTAAAATGAGTCATTTTACCCAACGTTGATTAAATTTAACCAAATTTAGCCGCTTTGGAAACATTTCAGGTTATTTGTTTTGAACTTTGTTATTACATGTTATTTGTTGGTTTGTTAAAATTGGGCAAGTAGCCAATGGGTAAATTGAGTCAATATTTTGTACGATAAAAAAATCTTGTACCAAATTACACCATATTGAAGTTTATCCTGTGATTGTTTCAACCTTTTTCTTCTCAGAAAGAAATCAGCAAAAAAAAAAAGGATGAAGGGATTCACCTGTTTGGTTCTGTTGATGTGCCTGAGCTGCGTCTTTGCCATGGCACTTCGTCAAGGTATGTGCGAGTGCTGTACGTGTTGGTCGTTCCTTGCCGCATTCCTTACTGCATGGCAAGTAGGGTTTTCAAGGACAAAATTAGTTACCATTTTATCTGAGAAAAGTTTACCCATTCCTATTGGTCGAGAGCCCGTCACGTGGCCGGTCTTAAACGGTCGATAAAGATCGACTGGCTGATCTTGAACCCTTTTCCAGTGTCACATGAAATTTGGATGAAGTATTAATATTGTTTTGGTCGAAAGTTCACGATCCTCACGTGGGAATGTGCAATACCAGTGATCGGAGTCAGTATTCATATGGTCTTAACTTGGTTGATTTGATTCCCAGAGAGAGATACTAAGGACCAGTTGTTGGAACTGCTCCTGGAGCGATACTTGGAGGGCAGATCGCGACAGGATCGGGACGGATACGGAAAAGACCGATCCCTAGAGGAGGACCGTAAGTTGTACAAAACGCATATAGCTGTTGTTGTTTTTTTACTTGACAGTCGCCTATATGTGAAGAATGTTTTCATATAAACCATGGGATCTCATGACAAAACGTTCCTGAGCCTCTGATAAATTGGTAAATACAGGGCGAGTCAGAATATTCTGGACCCAAGTCAGGTATATTTTTGTTGTGGCATATAAAGTATATTGAGAAAAAAACTTAGTGTTTCATATATGAATGGTTATTACCAAAATTTGGAATTTTTCAAATTGGTGGCAGTGGTGGTGAGGAGTTTTGCCATTTTCATTGAAGTCGCTCATTTTCCAGCCTGCACACAGAATTGGTTTTGCATTTTTAAATGTGCCAATAACTACTTTGTTGTTGTAGTGAGACGTTTTTTACGAGGCACCGTACAATTGGCACACAGCCCAGAAAAAAAATGTGTACAAACGCGCACTCAGTGCGTGTACGCGCGAGTTTTCTGCTTCCACACCAAACTGTGCAATATGGAGGCCTAGCTCACTACACAGTTGTACACTTGCCAGGCCTTCGGGGAACTTCGGGGAACCTGATTGAAATATTAGAACCAAGAATATTAGGAACCTGATTAAAACATTAGAACCAAGAATATTAGGAACCTGATTAAAATATTAGAACCAAGAACATTAGACACCTGGAAATCTTAGGAAGCGGGGCAACTTTAGAAATACAAACATTGTGATTATAATTTATCATTGACAATGTTATTACAATTTATAGAGCTGAAAGTTGAATCCAAGTTATATGATTTTTGTAACACTTGTTTTGTGAGTTAGATTGAGATTCAGATCCAGAACTATTGTAATTGATTTTGTAAACGAGTAATCTGTAACAAGTTCATGAGACCAAACATAATTTGACCCCTCCTAGTGTTTTGTCTTGGTTGTCCTTGGCGTCCTTAAATCCAATCATTTGAGCGGACCTCCTTAATGGCGTACCGCTACAAAAGTGGCGTCGTAGATAGGATTCGTCACAACTTATTTACCTACTAAGCTTAAAGTATTTTTTTCTTCCATGTCTACTCCTCCTGCTACAAAAGTGGCGTCGTAGACAGGATGCCTTGGACAATGTAGGATAAACAGTTTCCTTAATTGTAAATTATTAAGTTCTCCGAACGCCTTTTCCTCGCTGTGGCCGTCCATTTATCATGGAGCGTCGTACGAGATGGGATTTGCTGTTGCTGTTACCATGCAAGATGTTTCTCCTCATTCGCCAGGCTGTGATGCGCCGTTTCACTTGTTGAGGGACATGATCATCTCTTCCATTTTGTATTATTGACTGGGCTGCATTTTTTTATAGTATTGTCAGCAGGTGTAGTTTTGGTCACTTGTAGTTTTAACCTACATACACTTGTGCAATTTTATCTTCCATGTGAAGTGTATTTTGACTTTGGTATCCATTCTTTTGTAGATCTGCATTTGTACAGATTAAGCCTTTTGGCCTACGTGTAGCTGAAGTCAAATTTGTGTGCACAGTTGGTTTGTATGTAGAGTATGGCCTGATTGTATTTTTGCTGACTTAATTTGCAGACCCTTGTATATTTTGACATATTGACGTGAAGTTTGACGTGCATGATGTGCATTTCATATTTTGTCTGTGCATTTTGTCTATTTTTGACATGATTCAGTCTGTATTTAGGCTGTAATTTTGGGTTGGATTTTGTGTGTACAAGTTATGTCATTGTATCCCTTGTAGGATGGAAAATAGGCTGTATTGTGACCCTGTTATATCTGTGTAGGTACAGATTTTTTGTCAAATTTGTGAAGCCTTGTAATTTCATGTACACTGTAGGCCGTAGGTGGTCATTTATATCACAACCATGGTTTTGCCAGACAGTACTTGTTAAGTCACATCAGTTTTTAGCACAAACTATTGTCAATGTGTTTTCAAATTTATTAGAGGATGGTCACGATGAGGTCCACTTACTCAATGAACAGCCTTGTGAATCTGTTGATTCCATTTCTAAGCTAAGTGTAGCTAAGTCAATAGAGACAGCACTCAATGAGCATGCTGCTATTTTACTCACGTTTGTTGAAGACCAACAGGTCAAAAACCTGGAAAGTTTGTCTTCTGATCTAATGGTGTCCCAGGTGGTGATATTCCCAGTGAAATTAGTGAGACAAATGTTGATTCTGAGCCAGTAGTTATTGTCCCTGCATGTACCGATGTAGCAGCTGTTCTAGAGGTAGAGGTGTCAGAACAGATTTTGATAAAACCTGTTGATGGTATTGTGGAAGTCTCTGATCACCACGAGGTTGTTGATGTAAGGCCTGTTTTAGAGCCCAGTGTTGTGTTTGCACCCGTTTGTGATGACTTGGAAAATAAGTCGATATTAAGTTGCAAGCCGCAGGAGTGTGTTGTATCTCCTGGTTATTCTTCATCACATGTTTTACTGCCTCCTTTTGAGAAAAGGCTCAATTTAGTTTTGGAATGTCACCCATCACTGCAAGTGCCAAACGCCAAGGCAGGAGAAAAAGTAGGGAACCACTGGGCTACCCTCACTTTTCATCTTTGTGCATTTGAGATATGGCCAACAGTGTTGCCAGATGCAGAGACTGGCAAAGCACCACATGATGAAAAGGAAACATGTGGGTCTCTGGCAAAATGCCATTACTTAAATTGTGTCCAATGACATAACAGATAAGCAGTTTGAAATTTAATGCAGTGAAAGGTTCCATTTGAACCTTTACTTGGTCAATGCTCTCGTCGTTATTCGTCCCGTAAACGGTCAATCGTCGGCATATATCCTCACGCGCTATATACACATGCATGTAAAAATACAGCGCGAACAGCGACCTCACGCGGCCACTATTTTTATATGCAAATCAGTTGGGGACGATCTCGAGCCTTGGTTCAATCGTCCATGTGTGGTTTTGGGGGTGGTGCTCATTATGTTAATAGCCTTAGCTGACCTTAAATGTCGTTTTCTTATTGGTCGATCGTTGCGTGGAAACTTGCATAGTGAAACGTGTCACCGTACATGATCCATACACGTACACGTTGTGTGTCTCTGCACACGGCACCAATGCACAAAAACTGTGGTTCCTGTCACGTCCGCAAAAGGCGAATAGCTGCAAACAATTTGATGACGTCCGGATTTACCAAGGTGTGATTGGACACTCCACATATTAGCCCCGCCTACACTTATCTGTATTCGCATACGAGGTCGTGCGCTAGAAATCCAGCGCAAAATAAAGAAAAACATAAGCTTTTGCCGACGATTGAACCAAGGCTCGAGATCGTCCCCAACTGATTTGCATAAAAAATTAGTGGCCGCATGAGGTCGCTGTTCGCGCTGTATTTTTACATGCATGTGCATAGCGCGTGAGGATATATGCCGACGATTGACCGCGTACGGGACGAATAACGACGAGAGCATTGACCAAGGCTAATTGGAACCATGTGTTTCATCACGATCATATACGATCCGAGTATATTTGATGCACAAAATCGTCGCTGAATTTCAAGTGTTCTAATTGAAAGCAATGAATAGTATTTATCAACTCATTTAAAAAAATTAATAAGCAATTAACAGTTAATTAAACCTATATTATACTCGGAAATACTAGGGGGTCTACATCCGAGTGTCGACGAAACGACTTTGGCAAACTTCGGAAACTTTCGGAAAAAGGAGGAATACCTCCCGTTTTAGTCACGTGACGTAAATTGTAATACGATGTATTACCGGAGGCGACCGGACCTAAGATTCATCAGGAAAAGTCAGAATCTTTTGGTCTGGGAACCAGACTACATCCAACCCAACGGGCGCCACGCGCTCAACCGACGCTTTCTACTTTGTGGACTCGAGACACGGATACAATTATTAAAACGAAAATATTGGCGTTTTAGATGACAATACTCTCGATGTTTGTGTAAGGAGAATGGGGTATCGTTTGCCAAGGTGATGGGTATGTGCACATTGTGCCGGGTGCGGTTCTATATCGAAAAAAAAGAAAGGAAAACCTCATTTAAATCATCTGATATTTGTGGAAGATTGTCTAAAACAAAATATGTGAGCTTCCTACGAATATCAGGAAAAAGAGGAAACCTCTTTCGAAATTTGTAATAACGAAAACAATTGCGATTCGTCACAACAGGTTCGGAACTCTCTCTTAACTAGGAGCAAATATAAATTACGCTTTCAAAGGGGAATAATTAAGGTGTTGAGTTTGGTTAGCCTATATAGAACCGCACCTGGCCTGCATTCTGTTTAGTTAGCTTGCATCGTTTATGCATTCTTAACACGGGTAATTGTATTACATTGATATAATTATTTCTGATATAGCTTGCTCTCTTAACATGTTATTTTTTTAGCTACTCAATCATAACCGTATAACTTTTAAGTCTTGACCCCACTTATATTCATTACCCTATCCCTAAAAACCCTTACCCAGACCCTAACCCTCACCAAGTGCTTCCTCAAACCAAATGAAAATGTCTTTATCCTGAGAGGCACATTTAATCCCTTATTCCTCCCCATTTCCTTTTTTTTCATTCTGAAACTGACATGATATTCAATAAAACAACTCATTTAATTTTGGAGAATATTCATAGGCTGGAGTTTGCGTCGGGGTGATGTAAATTTAATAGGTTTGGCCCTTCACCGGCGAATAAACACTGTATACTTAGTGTGTTACCTCCTGACGGTGAAAGTTGGTGAAAAAAATCACTCGGGTGGGACTCGAACCTCAAGCAAGAGGTCGTGGGTTCGAGTCCCAACCCCGAGTGATTTTGTCCAATATATTCACTCGGGAGGCAACACACTGAGTATAAAGTGTTTATACGTCGGTGAAGGGAAAACTTAATATTAATTGTGGAGAATGTTGTAGAATTTGCTCAGAATATAAAAATTACCTTAGAGTTTCTTTAGAATGAGGGGATTTCCTCAATTTTCCTATTTTGTCCATCTCCTTAGAACTTCCTTCCAAAGTAAAATTGTCCTTAAAGTGAGGAAATTTCCATGAAAGTGGAAGCACTGCCCTTACCCTAACCCTAACCCTTGCCCTAATCCTATAAACCCAAACCCTATCAGTCGTAGCCCCACCCGAACCCAAACCCTATCATCCCAAAGTTGTCCGAGTTTACCTCTTTGCGCCCAAGTAACTTTTTACTGTCAGTATCAGCTCTTATCGTATGGTATTGGGTAAAAGTGCATTTGGTAATTGTAGTTGAATTGGAATTAAAAAATAGGGTATGCAAACCGTCTTTGTACAATCTTGCACAGTCTCGTATTGAAATGCCTGATAAAGTTAACGTTTACCGTCAACATTTCGGAATTTTAATGGCAGATACACTTATAGTGGGTGCTGCCTGCACAATGTATTAGAGATGGCTATTACATTATTTCGAGCAGATTCGCTTATTATTTATGCAAGACAACCGCATCTTGACCTCAAGATTTTGACCAATCAGCGTGCGCTTTCTATATAGGCTAGGATCTTCGGTCACACCGTTGTCGCATGACATGGATAAAACAAAAATATCCTAGACACAGCAACAAAGGCTGTGGTCGCGCGCTCTGTGGTATAATGTAACACGACAAGCGCCCGGCTGTTGTTGTATAACAAAACACTGCATTCGAACTGACCAATCACAGTTTTAGTCCTGATTTTTGAATGAAATGACGTCACGATTTAGTAAAGTCGACTCCGATTGGCTAAGGCGCGAGATCGCATTAACCTGCATGCTGTGACATAATCAGACGTTATACTCGAGACTTGGCTCCGTGGATAACGGGTGATATATACTCGGACTACATACAGCGCGCCCTCTTGTAGCATTTTTTCTTTCCTTTCAGTTAAGTGAATTCGTGGCCGGCTGTTCATCCAAGTGATCACGTGAGTCTGCGACTACCTATCGACCAACCTAAATTCTTTTTTCCCTCAGAAATGCAAATGCATAGGAATTGCTCACTAGGAACAAACTTTTTTGATAGTTGTATTGTATTATGGGTGTGGATGATAAACAAGCAATGTAGTTTAAGCACAGACCTATGGGCAGTGAACATTCAAACTTAAATTGATTTTCTTCCATAGTTTTTCAAGAAAAGTAATGATAATTGATTCTTATATTAATGCATAGAATACAAGAAATATAATCTCTAAACAAAAGTTTTTTGAATGGAAAAAAATAAATCAACTTGACATTTCTCTCCAGGTACCAGTCACCAGGCCAAGAGGAACGATTGTGATTGGCCAGTACGTGTTGCAAGTGTTGGCTTGAAATTTTGATTATTGGTTCTGAATAATGAAACTGGTATCTATAAAATAGGGATTCCCCAAAACATTCTTCATTCTCATAAGCATAAAAAGAGAAGTGATTTTTAACATAATTATATTTCAATTTACCGATGCAACAATGTGTGAAAAGGTGCTCACCAATTTCCTTCCACATCTCCTTCTAAGGGACCCCGCTGGGAATAGTCGAAAGACGTTCGTGGGCTATTCCGGTCAATTGCCGAATAGTAATCACACCCACACACACACACAAACAAACAAACAAACAAACAAACACCCCAACACCCCAAGACCCCAAGACCCCAACAAACACACAAAAATACACATCTTTAACATCTGTGTTTTCCCCATAGAGCTATATTGTACTAAAGTACTAAAGCGCTGACTCGATGTACAAAGTGATGTGTGCTGGCGCATCCATGTTTGTACCAAAACTTATGGAAAACTCCAAATGCTTATCCTGTAGTCTGGTTCCCGGACCCTACTTCAGACGAAACGGAGCAATTAATAGACGTCCGGGAATTGTCAGGTCAGGGAACCAGGGAGATGGCTTGCACCTGTTCACGAATGTGTAACCGATTGCAAACAAAAACTGGACCAACTAAATTTGGTAACCTGTCAGGGTTTTCCCCAATCGTTGGAAATTGATACAAACATTCCACTTGTCTTGAAAATGACAGCACATCAGGTGTCATAATTTCACAGGATCCTGAGACTATTATTCACTTACAGTCAAGTAAGGTATTTCAAAAGAATAATTTGGCAGCTGTTATGTTTGCAAATGTTGTACATTACCCTTAAAACCCTTTACCAAATCAATTTCAATATGTAGAACGCAATGCATTTTTGCCCATGTGTTTAACAGTTTACTTTTTTAGCTCCGCTATATATATATATATATATATATATATATATATATATATATATATATATATATATATATATATATATATATATATATATATATATATATATATATATATATATATATATATATATATATATATATATATATATATATATATTATATATATATATATATATATATATATATATATATATATATATATATATATATATATATATATATATATATATATATATATATATATATATAATATATATATATATATATATATATATATATATATATATATATATATAATAAAAAAAATACTGCAGGAGGAACAGAATTCGATGGCTTTTTTAAATTTTAAAGTTAATGAGCGGAAAATAACAAACCGACGTGTAGCATATGCTAAAAATGCAAATAACCTGTCAATAACACTGTTCAGAATGCAATGTTACCACAGAACAACAAGGGAATTCCCAAGCATAATATATCCGCACGAAGTCAGATTTTATGGAAACCATAGATGCATGTTATGACAATATTACTAAATCTAAAAATTAATGTGGCCTGACGTTGCGAACTTAGCAAGTTCTTCTTCAGAGGCTAAAACAGAAATGACA